AATATTTACGAGCTCAATGTTTATAACATTTTATGCTTTACTTACATGTGCAAAAAAGATTTAACTTTACCAGTCTTTAAAGACCTTTTTTCTCTAAACCCAATTAATAAATATTTACTTAGAAATAAAAATTTTGTACATGAATCTATTTGCAAAACAAAATTTAACAAATTTTGCATTACATTTCGAGCACTCTATGTTTGGAATAAATTTGTTATACCTAATTTTGATATATCTAATACATTCCCGATCTTTAAAAGTAAACTTCAAAATTTTATTTTATCTAATGATGATATATTTAAATACTTTTTATAAAATCACGTATTTGTCTTTTTAATTGTAAGACTATTGTATTTTTTCTTGCCTTTTAAAAAAAGAGATGTATTACTGTATTTACAATGTATATATATGTATTTATATATTCACGTTTTAATAAGATCTGATTATATGATCAGACTTTTTAATATATATAATATTTGTGGTTTGATTTATATTTCCAATTTATATCACGATTTAATGTAATTTTTTTAGTTTTGTTAATGCATTGATTTTAAAAAATATGTAAAAGGTTCTGATGATAAGATCATTATGATCTTTTTTCAGAAGCCTTGTCTGTTTATCTTTGTAAACAATGACAAAAATGTAAAAAAAAAAAAAAAAGTTGCAACACTTTAATTGTTTTTTTAGATTTTCAATTGAAGTTGCAATACTTTACGGAAAAAAACACATACTGAAACCTTTTATTCCTGTATAATAAGGAAATAATTCATTTTTTATATAACAAGGCTGTTTCATTATCTAAAATAGCAAAATTGTTTGAGGGCTATAAAAAAGAACTTGCACTAATTTTAAAACATAAGGAAAAAGTTTTTGTCGATATTAGTGGAAACATAAAAATATTCTATAGCAGATTGAAAAAAGTCAAAAAAGACATAGAAGATTTGAAACATAGTTTAATATTTCATGAAGAGTAAATTGATGCAAAAGTAAAGAAAGTAAATGTTTTCAGTAAAGAAGACAATTCAGAAATTACACACATACAAAAAAAAGTTAAGGGAGAGAGAAGATCGTGCGAGACATAATAATTTAAGAGTATATGGAATTAATAAATTGAAGGTGAAAGCTGGGAGAAAGGCGAACTTAAGGTAAAAAAAGTTTTTTAAGAAATACTATCTGTTAAAAATGTCTAAATTGAACGGGGCCATAGAACTGCAAAAATAGAATCAAATAAGCCGTGAATAATAGCGGTAAAACTTTTACATTTTAAAGATAAAGTCGCAATATTTAGCAAGTCAAGCAATCTGACAGGAAAAAATTTCTATATAAACGAGGATTTCTGTTTTGAAACAACGCAAATCAGGAGAAGTTTAAAGGAGATAATGAAAATCAAACGAGCGGCTGGTACGTTTGCATACATTTCTTATGATAAATTGACAATTCACAATTGGGTTGCAAAGAAAAGTAAAATTTCATCTTAAAAATGTTTATCATTAATTTAAGGAAATTTTATTTTTACTATTACTTATTTTAAATTAAACTGTTTTAAAAACGGAAGAAAATTTCACAATTAAACTTTCGGATTAAAGTTACATTTTTGGTGATAACGACATCGACTTCGGTGATAACGACACCGACTAACGACTTTACAAAATGTTAGAAAGTAAATATTTCTCCGTTGCTGGATGTTCGCAACATCTTAGACAAAATAAAAACACTTTTTCAACTTTAAGTATTAATATTCCAAGTTTAAATAAAAACTTGAAAATATAAAAATATTATTTAATGAACTTAAACACGTTTTTAAAATTGTATGTGTGACAGAAACTTGCTGTAAAAGTGGTGAAACAAGTTATGAATTTGAATTAGTTAACTACATATCAGTTCACCAACCACGTGAATTTAATGTAGGTGGGGGCGTTACAATTTTTATCTTTAATTCAGTTAAAAATATTTTACGTAACGACCTCTGTGTTAATGAAACAAGTTGTGAATCATTATGTATTGAGTAAATAAAACTGAAAAAAAAAAAAATTAAAAAGAATTTATAGATCACCATCTGGTAATATGAAAAATTTTAAAACTCATTTTAAAACATTTGTAAACAAAATTAGAAATTCCAGAAACTTATTTAGTTGGGAATTTTAACATTAACCTTATAACTATGCTTCTAATAATAATGCTAAGAATTTTATTAATACTCTTTTAAAAAATACTTTATTCTAACAATAAACGAATCAACAAGAGTTACAAAAAAATCTTCTAGTATACTTGATAACATTATAACTTTTACTTTTTATATTAGTCTTTTTAACACAGGTATATTTTAGACGGATTTAGCGGATCATTTTCCTACATGATTTTTACTACTTTTAATGAAACTATTTACCCAACAGGGTAAAGAGGACAAGCTCTTTAAATTACTATTTTGCATACAAGCATACAAGCGATGTGATGGTAATGTCTTCCATTTTAAGTAAATGTATTTTTCAACTGATGTGCACCCTTCCTGTTAGCGTTGCTTCGAGAGAACGGAGTTTCTCAGATTTAAAAAGACTTAAAACTTGGCTTAGACCCAATATAGGACAAAAACGATCAAAGTGGATTAGCTATGATACATATTCATAGAGATTGTATCATAAATGTCAAAAAGATTATTAATAGTTTTGCATCTTCAAAAACTAAAAGGCTCTATTATACATTGTAGTTTGTTAAATTTATAAAAGTCTTGTTGCACATGACAGACAGGGCCAGATTCATCTATAGGCAGACATATATAGGCTGAAGACTGTGCACCATGATTTTAGCGGGCTCATTTTGTAAATGTATCGTGGAAATAAAATCCGTCCCATGTGCTTTATGAATGTGTTTTTATAATAATGTTAAATGTTTTTTTTTTTGTTTGTGTATTTGGCAATATGTGTTATATAAGTGTTTTATAAATGAGTTTAATTAGGTTTATACAATGTTAAATAAATATATTTGCATTTATAGTAGGTACATATGTTTATAATATGTTGTTTCCATGTTTTGAAATTATGTTTAGGTATCGGTTTCGACCGTAATTTCAATTTGATTTGATACCGAAACTTTGATTTCGGTACTTTTACTTTTATTTTATTTTTTTTTGTACTTCGTCTTGAAAAAGACTTTTTTTTTTTTTGATGTTGTTCTGAGAGCAATCGACTGCACAACAACTTCTTAATACTAAATATTTAATAATATATAATAAATAACCAACAACCAACAACAACTCAACAACCAATAACTGACTTTTTAGTTTGTTTTCCTCTAATTCAAGATGCTTAATTTTAAAACAACACTTTTAGTACGAGTTACGTCATGACAACTGAAAAAATAGCAGAAGTGTGACTTGGCAGTGTTTAGTTTAAAATCTCTAGGTGTTTTCTAGCCTTTATTAATAACTATTCTAAAATACATAATAATGTCTTTTAATAGCATTTTGCTACGAATGTTGTTTTTTTTGGCTAATCCTTATGTTAATGTTTATTTTAAAAAATAAATAATATGTTTCATTTTTGGAACTCCATTGTTTCAATCATTCACTAAAAGCTAAGACAAATTGTTTTGGCACATTTACATTTTGTTTATATCTTATTTTGAGTTTTCGTCTTAAGCTCTGTTTATTGGATTGTTATACAAAAACTATTTTGGAACCATGATGTATCAATGCAAAATATTTTCTAAAAGTATGAAATTACGATATTCAAAAATTGCTACTCTGGAATCACAACAAATTATCTCAAAGTATCATGTACGTTGATTTCCAGTTTTCATATATGGTATTTTTTTTTGTATTTACTTATTCATTACATATTTTATAACAAATTTATTATATGATGTATATAAAAAATATTGAAGAATAAATTATTAATATTTGCGTATTTTTTAAAAACATCTACTTATAACTAGCCCAGTCAAAGTTCAACGTTGCATATGTCATTTTAAAGTTTCTTGGCTTTCTAAATGTGTTTCTCATTATTCGCGTGGTTTTACAAGCATGGTCTGCAAGCAAATTTAAGCTTATAAGTTTTTCTTAGCTTTTAATGAGAATTAATGTTTGTTTTTTATTTAATTTGATTAAATACAGTAGGTTTAATAAATAAACATTTCTTCCAGGTTTTTTATTTATATGTTTTCAGATTCTTAAGAACTAAGAATCTGAAATTCCTGAATCATAATGATTACAGAAAACATTATTAAAACTGATGTAATTACTAAGTTCTTACGTATTTTTTAATACCACATCTGATAAAGACCACTTATAATAAAAATATTTATGAGTTACTTGCTATTTTATGGTATAACTGTTCCAATTGTTTAACTATAATTGTCCCTTGATTACTCAAAGATTTCAATAAATAAATTCTGTTTAGTTCGAGTGTTTTAGTTGATAAATTATCTTATTAATTTGAGATATTATTTGCCCATGTTATTACGTTGTGTTGTCTAGCCTTTCTATAATCTTTTCTTTTTAATTATTCTGGAGACACATATTAATGTCTGTAATGTGTGCTTACATATATCTTATGCGCTATTGTTACTGTGTTTGGAATTGATAAAGCTAGCCTGTTATAGTTATTTCTTTATTCTTTTATTTTCTATTATATTATTACCTCAAATTTACTAACAATAAAATGAAGATTATACTTTTGCAATTAAAAATTGTATTTTTTTCATGTCTTATTTCGGTATTGGCAAGCTTTATTGAATTTCATTTTCTGGTACCCGCTGTGCTTAAAACTAATTTTAAATAGAACTTAACTTATGTTAAAGTCTTTTTATGTCGCTATGAACTTAAGTGATATTAGCCTTTTTATGTTGTAAACTAAAAGCAATTACACTGGTGATGGGGAGCGGAATTTCAAATATTATTTATAGATAAAATTGTGCTTAATTTTTTTTTTTTAAATAATATTTCAAGTTGTTACGGCTAGTATTGACTTAATAGACTTTTTATTAAAAGAATAAAATAAGTTTACCCATCCATTGTTGAGTTTGATATGTTAAAATCTGCTCAAAAGTTCCTTCCAACTTCAAACATGCAGAGAAATTGAAATTTTGAGATATATTTTCATTAAACTCATTGTGAGGAACTGCCAACCACTTTTCATATGCTTTGTGAAACATCAAATAAGTTTTTTGATTGCGATGGATAGCATACAAATCTCTTGTTAACAAATGATGACCGAGAACAGAACCAACGCTAATATCTAGCTCTATAACAATAAATAGTAATAATAATAATAATAATAATAATAAAAAAAGTGGTCAAAGAGAGTGAACCTCTAACAAAGGTTGTTTTAAAGTGTAAAATTAAAGTTGCTTTTTTATAAAAATTTTTTACATAACTGAAAAATAAAATAGTATGAAAAACATATACTTGACCAATCCTTTCCAAAGTTATTTGAAACATAACATGCTGTCTGCTGGCTTAAACAATAAATTTGATATTAGAAACAACTAACAACTTTAATTAATACATTATAAAAAATTCAAATGCATTACTTTGATAAATAACCACTAAAAAACCTTTTTATAAGTTTTATAATTACAGCATTATTTAGACCTAAACAATAAGTTTTATTACGTTGTAACATATGAATTCAAGCAAGCATATATCCAAGACTCTGCTTGATCCCAACAAATACCACGGCTGTAGCTTTCTGAAAATATAAAAAAATTAAATTGTTTTTTTTTCTGAAGAAGAAAAGTGTTTTTTCTTTACAATCCAACAATATTGATTATATGTTAAATGGGGAGTATTTACTTTGTTTGTCCAACCAAAAAGTAAGCAAAAAGTTATAGTTGGGATTTTAAATAAATTTTTTTTTTGCTATCAGTTTTTTTTTTTTTTTTATTCAAATATTTTTTCAGTTGTATAAAAAACTGCTATCAATGTGTGTCCTGAATAAAAATTAAAACTATTATAACATTGAAAATACATGTGACTAAAAGTATAAAATATAAATATAATAATATTAACAAATTTAGTATTGATAACTTGAATATTTTTGCTTTACATTATATTATGTACTTTATTATGCGAGAAATACTTTACCTAGTTATATGTGAATACTTATGATTAAATGTGTGTTTAAATTTATATCTACATTAAGCTATTTTTGAAATTAGTGTATATATCTATGACTATTTATTTTAAAAATTACTGTGTATATCTATTACCGTGTATATCTATCATTATGTACCAATAATTTAATAAAATACAATAATGTTTTTTTTTCATTGTAAATACTTCATAAAAAAGGAAATAACACCTTATAACTTAAAACGTGTTATACTTTTGTTAAATATTCAGTCCTCGGTTAAATAAATCTTTATACGCATTTGTCTTTGAGCATGGTTTTCTTAGCCTTATTACATTATTTTGTCGTGTTACGTTTTTTTTTTTTTTTTTTTTTTTTTTTTTTTTTTTTATTTACACTTTTGCCGATAAGAAAAAATTTACAGTCGTAACTTATAAAAAAAAATAATTACATAACCGGGGCTAGAAGAAGACAAATTTAGTCTTATCATTAAGCCCCAAAAAAATATTGAAAAAGGTTATATGATTTAGACTTAATGTTATTACTTCAACAGTTGATAACGTTAATAAGACCCAAGTCAAGTGATTTACTTACCTTCAACTCAATTATTGAGTTTTATTTATGTTATGTTAATGTTAATCAAACTTAGGATTTAGTAACTATTTTAGCTATAGGAGCATCAGCCTGAAATATAATCAAGAACTATCATAGTTTGAATCAAATGTGCAACTTGATATTATTAACTATGTTTTTTTATTTTAGGCATAATTTTTCTAACAGGGTAATTGGTAATTTTTACAATTTTTCAAAAAAACAAATAGTAAAAACAGTAATGTCGCTAGGGTTGAAAAAGTAGTTGCAACGCCACCCTCTCTTCAGTTATAGTAGCGTATATAAGATTTTTGTACTGTCACTAATTGTTTAATATCTACGCCACCTACCTAAATGCCGGTCTATTATAAAGATGAATATATGTACATTCGAATCAATAATTGTTATCAGTTATGGAAATTAAATAGCTTAAACACTTTAACTCTAACTCAAAACTTAAATTGCTGACATAAGGTAAACTTATAATCAAATACTTAGAGATTTTGCTTTAGGTAAGTTGTACAATAGTTTTGCCTCTACTTCCTTGTTTGTAGAGTATTTTAGAGTTGAGAGTATTGCAAGCAATATCAGTTTTTTTTACATCAACGATGTACATTGTTAGGTTTTAATAACTTGAACTTGCTGAAATTACGTTGATTGCTGGCCATTGCCACAGGAAACTTCAGCAAATATCTGTAGTGCTACCTGCAGATTAATAAAAAGCTTTTTTCTGAGGTTTTTTTTATTATATTGAGTTCTTTTAATGGTGGTAGTGTTATTGACCGCCAGCTTTTGCTCACACCATTTGTCAGCAACAGTAGTTACCTAACTGACTTGTAAAATTTTCATAATGCAGTTTTTCCCCATTTTTATCTGATTTGTTTTTTATAACTGCTCTTGTCTGGTTCTCATGTGATACTTTATAATCCTCTTTAAGTTTTTCCTTTGGTGATAGATTTTTTAGATCATAAAAGACATCACTTAGCATTTGTGGAAGTCTTAATCTATTTTCAATTTACTTCAAATGCTCTATTAAACTTGGTTTAAAATTGACAAAGTAATTAAAAAAAGCTAAAAAGTTTCTATTATTTTTAGGTAAACAACTTTGATAAGCTTCCACGGAATTCATTGTTAAGTCCGCTAAGTAAATTATCACTGACACTATTCTCATAAAAATGCTTCTCTACTGTTCTGTTTTGTCTTTAATTTGCTAGATAAGGTTTTTACCAACAGCTTGTTCATTTTTTATCCTGATTGATGCCTCGTTCAATTTCTTAGATCAGATGAAATGAGACAAAAATGTCTCATGCATTATAACTTGCTCTGGATTTTTTCCAGTAGTTGAAACCTTCAATTTTTCCTAATTTACGATTTTGGAGTTAGGTCACACATATGATAAGAAAGACAATATGCTGAAGCAGTTTCTAGAGATGATATAATCCACCTCCTCTTTACCTTTTCACTATATCTTGCAACTCTGTATTAAAATTCAATTGAAAAATGGCGTTATTTGGTTTTAAAATATTGTTTATTTCTCTTGATGAAAGGTATTGGATTCATTTAAATGATGCAATCTTTTTCATATACAACCAGTCGTTGCAGCTAAGTGGATGGATTATTAGATAAGAACATGCGAGTATCACTTCTGTGCAAAATATTTTTTATAACTGTGATATCATCATCTTTTTCAACTATTTTAACTTATATTTACATTCAGACTCTTTGTTTTTATTTGATATTTAGTCACAAATTTTAAAGCATGAAGTTGATGAAAATGTGTCAAAACTAGCTTAAAAAAGTGAACTACACACAGCAGAGTATTACTAACATTATTTTCCTATTGGTTATAGACATAGTGAAGGTCTTACTAGTTACATTAATGAGTTTACATTATACAAAATATTTGATTAAAAATGTAGTAAAGAACTTAAAAAAAAGAAAAGAATGTGTTAGCAATGTTACTTTACTTAAAACAGCTTCATGGGCTGCTCAGAGTCCTTGGCTATTTTTTTCTCTGAGCACTTGACAGTTTGTTAACATCTTTAAATAACAACTAGTGTTGAAATTCAAACTAACAGTGAAAAATACTATATTATTTTTTGAAAGCATTATGTAATTCTTTTATAATAACAATACGGTCACCACTGATTACAGTTTGCAACCATTTTTATTTTTATTATCTTTCCTTCTTGTCGCTTTATTTATTTTTTTGTCTGCGCAAACAAACATGAGCTCAATATTTATAATCAAAATTAATTAAAAAAGTAATTGAAATAAACAACTCAAAAAATTTTACTTTAGCTTGGGTGGAAGAGATTGTTAAAATAGTTTCGCAAAACAAATTTTAGTTTAGTATAAATTAAAAAAGATTGTTATTAAATTGATAAAAAAAGTTTGTAAAAACAACATTTTTCAAATAAACTAAAAAAATATATAAATACATAATTTATTTAGAGAAAATTTTAAAAAGCAACATTTTGAAAAAGACTAAAGAGTATAAAATAAACTTTTTCTCATCGCGGACTTTAGCACGTACACATCCTAAAAAGCAATAAAAGTCATCAACTGAAAATGTTTAAGGGCAATTATTAAAGATGTTGTATGAAGTTAAAATTAACGCTAAAAATAAAATTGCCGCGATGAGTCCCTAAACCACGTCGCTTATGGATATATATATATATATATATATATATATATATATATATATATATATATATATATATATATATATATATATATATATATATATATATATATATATATATATATATTATATATATATTATATATATATATATATATATATATATATATATATATATATATATATATATATATATATATATATATATATATATATATATATATATATATATATATATATATATATGCAATACACGACATAATATATATCACATAAATGAAAAGTATATGACTTTCATAAAAGATTGAGTTTAAATCGCTTTTCAAATTTTATGATGTCTTAGTTTAATATTCTTGCTAAACTTTTTATTTTAATTCCTTAGACTTTTTTTTGTGTTCCGATGTTTGCTTTATAAAAAAAAATTTAACTTAATTGTGGGTAGAGTAAAAAGAAACATAGTTTACCCGCTTGGAAATAGTACTATTCTTTAGGCGAATAGCACTATTCGTTAAGCAAATAGCACTATTCGTTAAGCAAATAGCACTAATCGTTAAGCAAATAGCACTATTCATTAAGCGAATAGCACTATTCGTTATGAGAATAGCACTATTCGTTATGAGAATAGCACTATTCGTTATGAGAATAGCACTATTCGTTAAGCAAATAGCACTATTCGGAACTAGGACTGCAAGCTCGAACATGTTCAAGTTCGAACGTTTTAACTTTACGCCAAAAACTCTACGTTCAGGTTTGAACTTTTTTTGCCTAAAAGTTCGAACTTTCAGAAAAAATGCCTTAATGGTTTTTTTGATAAATACAGCTGAAATATTAATAGAAATTAGTGTTTTGAATCTAATACAATTTTTGAAAATAATGTTCTTTCTCATTTGATTTATTTGTGGCTATTCAAATTATTTAGAAAAACAACGTTTGTGTGGTCACCCTAAAAATAAAAACATAATAACGTAACGTGCAAAACCATTGCGATTTGTAATCTTTCAGATTTTGCACATTAAAAATTAGGCAAACAGTTACCATTTGACCACTGTTTATTTACATTTGAAAAAAAGAAAAAAAAAAGAAAAATAATACGTAACTACTTTAAAAGACGTTAGCACATTCAGAAGTTCTGAGATTTGGGATTATTTTGAACTTTTACAAGACCTTCAACAAGCCAACAGTAAAATTTGTTAAGTTTTATTAAAAAACTCTGGCTCAACAACAAGCACTATTACAAGACACACATTAAGTTTATATTATTAAATGTAGTACCTTGGCTTCTAAAGCTTTCAAAATTAGTCATGTTCCTAAAATACTAAGAAATCAAAACCTTTTTAGTTCTGGAATTAAAACTTTACCTGATACCTTAAGCAGATTGACTGTTA